ACACACACACACACACACAGGGCACAATCTTGAATAATAAATATCGGGTCGCGTCAAGGCACCAAAATATCATTTACCTTCGTAGGTATGTGGGAGATTCTATAGCTTGACAGGCAATTTACAACTAATACATGATGTATGTCTCCTGTTGAATTTGCTACCTCAGAATCACAAAGTTCCATGTGGCATTTTTGGCCGTTTTGAGTTATTGACACAATAAGGTCCGAGAGCAAAGGCTCTGTTCTATCAAAAATGTAACAATATTCGGAGTCGTTATCAAGATATTCAAAGAATTACATTTGAAAAGGCTTGACATATTGTGACACTAAAACATTTTGACGTCAAATTTCTCAAAACTTGTTACTGAGCTTATAGAACGTTGTAATTCTGAGGTACCGTGTTATGTCTGCAGCAAGGAGCCGTCCACGAAGACCTTGAGGGCACCGGCGTAAAGGAATGGCAGCTGGTGTTTCGTGGGGTGGCCGGGGCGGGCTCTGATGTCTTACAGCAGTACACTCATGACATGGACAAAGATGCCATTCAGGACGAATGTTTAAAGGTTTGTTGTCCACGTAAAGGTAAAAACGGTAATCAAAATAAGCAATCATTGGTCTTCCAGAATCAATGTTTAAAGGTCTGGGATCCATGTTAAGATTTTAAAAAAATCCCGTTGTTAAAGCAGGCAGTCATACGTAAGTAGAAATTCCATTCAGGGTGAATGTTTTAAGGTCTCTAATCCTTGGAAAGGTAAAAATCGTAATCAATGCAGATAATTATAAGTAAGTAAAAAAGTCCATTCGGGATGAATGGTTAAAGGTGTGTAATCCATAGTGAATAATCCATTCAGGATGAATGTTTGACGGTCTGTTGTCCACGTAAAAGTAGATGCCATAGTTAATGTCAGCAATCATAACCTTTTCCTTTTCCCCTTTTTGTTATCTTCAGTCGGATCCTCTACACCATTGCACTCAGCATTACAGAGACAACTACGCACTGAGCCAGTGGCAAGACATCGAGGAGGTTGCCTTCATTCTATACAAGTCTGGATGGGACGTGAAGCGCATCGTCTTCAACGGCACGGGCTCTACCAGCAGAAACTGGTTTGACCGACACCGTGTGAAGACTTCGAGCTGGCCAGATTTGGTGGGCAGCCCCACAGTACATTACTTCTCTATCGAGGGGAACCAGCAGAAACACCGCCACTTCTTCATAAACGAATACCAGTCCGGTTGTCACAATCTCTCCGGCTGGTTCGTGGCTGTTGAGATGGGCTCAGGCATGGCCTTCGTGATACTAAACGTGTTATAACGAAGGCCATGGCTCAGGTCCGCGATGTGGCTGGGAGACAGGTCCATTCCCGGCTCTTCTCTACGCCAAGGGGAACCACTCGGAAGTTTTTAGCAGCGGTGACGTAGGAAGAGCGGATGAGTTCCGGGTGTACGTGAAGCGTCGACATTCCGCTACTTTATAATTACAAAGTTCTATCTTACATTTTTGGCCGTTTTTAGTTATTAAGTCCACGAGGTCAGAAACCGAGTGTTCTATCTGCTCTATAAAAAAACATGTAAGATTATTTGGAGCCATTATCAAGATATTCATAGAATTGCATTCGAAAAAGTTTGACATGGTGCGGGACTCAAACATTTTTTAACGTCGATTTTCTCAAAACTAGATACTGAACAGATAAAACATTAAAAAAATTCTAGGGTAGTGATACGTGGCATGGCTATGAGAAAGCTTTTCGCTCTTTCACGGTGGACAAGGGAAGTCGTGGTTCAAATAGCATTTGCCCATTCAGCAATTTTGATGTTTTTGTCGTCATTTTAACTCTATAAGGACCAAGCGGACAAATGATAGTGTCCGATCAGCAACAGAGCAAAAACGATGTTTCGGCACGTTTCGAACCATCATATATACAAATCAAAAACACGAATTTGCATATTTCGTAGTATGCATGTTGTTGCATGCCATTAAACGTCTTAGACAAAGATAACAAAAACGAAAATCTGTTTGAATAATGAATTTATTATGTCCCTTAACAGCACATCTTTAAATGTTGTCGAATGACCAGAATGTGTGTTTTCCAGTGAGTTCATTGCCATTGTTTACTGGTTGTTGTTGTTGTTGTTGTTGTTGTTGTTGTTGTTGTTGTTGTTGTTTTTGTTGTTGTTGTTGTTGCTGTTATTGCTTCTATGTTGTCATTGTTTTTGTTTCCCTTGTTAATGTTAGTTTCGTTATTCGCGGAGATAATTAAATGAATTACTACTCCACATATAAATAATTGTGAGGCTGGCTTATCACCTTTTTGTCTATCTTCGAAACATCAAGAAGTAAATAATTTTAAGGGAGACAACTGCAAATCGTGATATGACTACTCAGAAAGAAAGGGATAACAAGGAGAAAGCCGGGATGAAATTAAAAAAAACAACCCCAACAACCCAAAACTGTTAAGAGTTGTTAGATAATCCCGTGGACTTGCTGACCATATACTGTGCACATAGACACAATGCAGCGCCAGTTGGTGATGCGGTTAAACGCTTCACTGTCACAGGCAGGAGTCCCGAATTCGATTCCCGGAAAATTTCTATTGAGAATCGCGGTCTTTTTCTTGGGATGTTACATATCTCTCACTGTCCAGGCTGGTCCTGTCATGAAGGATCGGAAGCCCATCTCCTAGAAGATCTAAATTGCGTCCATGGGTGCGTAAAAAACATCTGCATAAAAAAACAACAACACAAAAAACACAAAACAATGCTGCTTCACAAGAAGCAGATAGGTAAACAGGAAGAAAGCACCGGTGGTATAATCCAAACTCCACTTTGGAAACTAGATGTAGTAAAGGCTGGCATGACGAGTCCTGGTGGAGGATAAAGTGGCTTTTCCCTGGATGGCCGGGTATAAGACAACACTCAGAACCCTGGGGAGAGTACCCGAAGACATCCGAGGAACAAACTCAAGTTTTTTGAAAATCTCCCAATACGTTTATTTATTATGTTAATTCAAACATAAAGTATTACATGTTTGTTTATGTGGACTGGGATGAGCTGGTCGAAGTCTTGGTTTCCGTGTAGGTTCTCTGTGAAGATAGCTCATGACGTCATGCATAGAAGGTTCTCTTGAGGAACCACAAATGATGTTATGCCCGGAAAGTTCATTTACCGACCACTCATGACGTCATGCCTAGAAAGTTCATTTACCGACCACTCATGACGTCATGCCTGGAGGATTTACTTGCCGACCACTGCCCCGGTGTTGTACTTGACGAACACGGCAATGAAGTCTGCCCGCTCTACGTCACCTGTAGTCCAGTTGGTCATGACGTCTTTTTTAGCGTACAGAAACATCGGGAAGCCAGAGTTCTTCTCCCAGGCACAGGGTACACTGGTAGGAACATTATGTTTTAGTTTTTGTAAGAAATTTACGGCACTTGCAACACAATAAGGTCATAGAAGTAAAGAAGATTAGAGGTGTTACAAGAGAGTAACAAGCACAAAAATGAAGGAGGGGAGATAAGGACAATCGATGTTTTATAGGAAAGAAGGGGCAAACCACACCAGAGCACCCGCCAACCACCCACAGGAACATTGGCCCGACAATAATGTCATACATACATACAATATGTTAGAAACAGAAAATAACAAAAAATTAGACAAATACACCGAGCTACATGTATGTTGTGGAAAACGATTTCGTTGTGCCAAGTAAAACACCGCTAGGTCATAATGAATAAAATACGAGAAGGCAAAATGTGGAACAAAAGTGCCGGGTGTGGACAATGAAATCTCTACGCTTGAATTACAAAGTTCTTTTGGCTCAGTACCTAGTTTTGAGAGATCTGACGTTAAAAATTTTGAGTTTCACATGTCAAGCGTGACTGAGATGCTAAGGTGAACCAAAAGTTAAACAATAACCGGTTAAAGGATTTAATTTAAGAGAACTGTCGCCATGGCTTACTTCTATTTCAATACGTAACGGGTGACTATGACTCTGGGTCTATTATGTTGGTATATTTGATATGTTTGAGTTAGGTCAAACGTAAGATTACAATTATATCAAACTCGTATTTGTCGGACATTTTCATTATATAGTCATTGAATAATTTTAACTCCTCTCTCAACACTGCTAGGTTATTTAAGACGACAGGACCTCCGATTTGACTCCCATCTCCGATAGTCCTGAGCCAAATGGGTCGAGAACCTCAAAAACTCCCCCAAACCAAAAAACATAAGTTCTGTGAGAATTCGAGCCAGGGCTACCCGCTCTGTAGCCCACCATGATACCAACTGAGCTGACGATGAGCACTCAAATATCTTGCGCAGGATGATGATCTCTTTGTCAAATAAACCTTTTGTGGGCCAGCTGTTGAAATGTTCTAAGCCCCAACATTGTTATATGTTTTTTTCCTGATCAGTTGCAGTTTTTTAAACCAGGGAAATCTACTGCATGTGCTCAAGAAATATTTGGTCAAAATTCAAATTTTAAACGCTGAAAAAAGCGAAAAAAATCCCAAAACACAAAACAAACAAACAAAAAAAACAAAAAAAAAAAGCTCACCAAAAACTCCCAAAACAACCCCCCCCCCCTCCAACGATACAGGGGCAATTGTTCAAAGAGTGGAATAGTTTTCCTTCTTTCCTGCCATATTTTGCTTTCTGAATGCAGTACATTTTAATAGCTCGTCCATGACTTTTAACTGCTTACCTTTTCCAGGGGGTTCTCGAATCGTGGCTAAGAGGTTACAGTGTTCGCCTCTCATTCAATAGGCCCCGGGGTCGAAACCTGACAGCGACGGAAAATTTTCTTCCCTATAATTTTTTCCTTTTCCTTTTACCCCCTTTCCTGCTTTCTAACCATGGCGGTTCTATCGTCTGCTTCTTCTCCCCTTTTTGCCCCCTCCCCCTTGTCCTCTCCTCTGGGTCCTGACTCTTACTGCAGCCTCTCTGCTGCTACTCCTTGGCTCCTTATATTACTGTTGTCTTTCAGTCACACCCCTGATCTTAGGGTAGGAAAGATCTAACACCTAGCCAGAAGTTGTGCACGTTAAAGATACCTTAGTGGTCCAAAACCGAGGAGAGTAGGCTTCAGATGTCACCCCTGCAAAAATTCAAAATTAATTCCTACCAAACTGAAAATGTTCAATGTGCCCCGTGCGCTCATATGGTCGTATGCAGTTGTGAGAGCCGTAAAACACTTTACAAAACAAACAAACAAACAAACAAATGAACAAATTACTTTTTCCTGTCCACAGCAACGAACCACCCTGCGTCACTGGGGCAGCCCCCGTACTGGTGGTTCATGAAAAAGCGACGCTGCAGACTGTCGTCTCCGTGCACGCTGAAGAAGTTCTTGCCATTCTTCTGTCATTGAAAAACAAAACAACATGGTGCCCATGAATCCCCGAGTTGATGCACAATCGAAATTGTGTAAGACGACCATCCACCGTCGAAGAGGAAATTGGCTGACTTAAAAAGGTGACCATTTTACATAATGTCATATCATTGTATATACAAAAACGAAAAGGGGGAAATGGCCATTTGTAGAGGTTACTATTTGTTACAGGTGGCCGTTGAAGTGAGTTGAACTGTATTAAAAAGCCTGGTCACCAATAGAGAAGTGCAGTTAGTATTGAGATGAAAAAAAAATCAGTATTTCGTGTGAGATCAAATGTGTTTATTTGTGGATACCCAGGATACCTTACATGGCATATTAACTGTTGAAAACCATAGTGTGAGTGGTTCACTGGTGTTCTGGCTGGTGTAGTTTGCTCCTTTTTCTTTTCTACCAACCGTCTATCATCCTTATCGCTTCTCTTTCTTTTATTGTATATTACTCTCTATTAACACCTCTAAACTCCGCCATTATACGACTTAATTGTGCTGCTAGGGCCGTAAAACTCTTACATAAAACTAAACTAAACTGGAAAAACTGTGAGCGAATCCAACAGAATGGATCATGTTCGTAATGTCTTCCAACTGTAGTTTTCATTCACACTGATCGTATCACTGGTGTTACCATCAAGGGTGGTTGGTGGGCTCTCTATTTGGCGTGGTTTGTACTTTCTTTCCTTTCAAACATCTATCACCCTTATCTCTCCTCTTCTTTGTATGTTTCTCATAAGTAACGCCTCTAATCTTCGGGCACTTATAAGACCTCTTTATGTTGCTAGTGCCGTAAAACTCTTAGTAAACTAAACTAAAGGAAACAAAAGTCTCATGATACCTTTATATCTGTCCAGGAAGAGCTGACTATCCGCTTCGAGTCGCACCAGTTCTGGTAGTTTGTGCCGGTACCGTCAAAGATCACGTGGGCCACCCGCACACCGCCCTTGTAGATGACGAAAGCAACTTGCTCAAAGTTGGCCCAGTGGTCCATGACGTCATTGTTGCGGTAATGGTGCTGGCACGGCTCCTGGCTGAAAATCTGAGACAGCAGAAGAGGAAGCATAACAAATGTGTTAGAAATGCAAAACAACACAACCACAAAAACTTTAAAACAAAACACAGAAACAGAAACAAAAATAGACGGAGAAACAAACAACACAAAAGAAAGAAAGAAAGAAAGAAAGAAACAAACAAACAACCAATCAAACAACAAACAACCAACCAACCAACCCATAAAAAACAAACAAAAGAACAAACAAACAAACAAAACGAACATTAAAAACAAAAACAAATACAATTGTGTTTGAAAAGAACGTCCACTTTCTACACAATCAACCCAAGTACGCTCAATCCAGTGCCAGAGAAAAATACGGACAAAGAATATCGGCAAACCCCAGCCCAATTTTTAAAAAATCAACACACTAAAGCACTCGCGCGCGCGCGGGCGCACACGCACACACACACACACACACACACACACACACACACACACACACACACACACACC